TGCGATGATTTTCATAAATTGATGCTAAATTGAGATAGTTAAATCTCAATGCAAAATTTGCTTTCTTTTTTCTTCCTCTTAACATTTATTTTCTTAACAATTTAGTTAATCGTAAAAATTGTTAAATATTATCTGATATTCGTTTCAGGTGGATTGATTATGATCCAGTTGGAAAGGATATGCCGGGAACACGGTTTGTCGCCTTTAAGACACCCTTGCGACACAATTATTTCCTGAATCGTAATGAATTCGACGTTCAAAATATCTTCGAAACAAAAAGTTTGAATGATATGGTAAGTTGTAATCTTTAAGTTATTTTTCCATGTATGTATGTATGTAAGATTACTAGAAACCTTGTGAGAAATCTAGATCTTATTCGATAAGAAGTAGTAAAATTGGAAAAGTTCTTGTATATCTGTTATTGTGATCAACAGTGGTGGGTAAGATTCAGCAATAATGAAAAGAGAAGAGTCAATAAGTAGAATTATTAGTTGGTGCATTATTTCTAGTGGAAAATATTTTTTGAAGATATAAGCTTGTAATTTATGTATAACAACTAAATTTTTTTAAAAGCTAGAAACCATTTTTTTCTAGGCTAATGCTGCTGGTAAGCAAATAGGTCTTGTTATTGATTTAACAGCAACTCAAAAATATTATGATCCTCATGAATGGACTCGTATCGGTATTAAATATGAAAAGATATGGTGCATGGGGCATCATATAAACATTCAAATGGAAAACATTGAAAAATTTTATAACACTGTCAGTGATTTTCTGTCTAAACATATCCATACTGGTTCGTATTTCATTTTTTAAGAAATGAGACAGTGTCGGTTATATTTGTTTCTATTCTCAAAGTATAATTTTAAATCGTGGATACAGGACTTATAGCAATAGCAATGATGTCACTGTTATGATAATGATTTGACATATTGGTAGTGCTGTATGAGTGATAACTATCTCAGACCATACCAGTAGTGGAATACTTGCTTATATTTATGCAAATATTGAAATGATTTACTTTTGTATTCTCTTTGCGGTTTTTTACTATGGAACAAAAATGCAGATTTTATCATTTCTTACCTTGCTTTTTTTCGGTTTTTATGTTATTATTCGTTTTCAGTGGTTAAAAAGGCATGAATGCATGGAAGTTTATACCTCTGTTGGAGTTCTTGTAAGAAATTTTGTCAGAAAAATATAGAAATATTCAAGTGCATATACAATGTATTTAGATGTATTCAAATTTAAGGTGAATTAATTGGTGTGCATTGTACACATGGTTTGAATCGAACAGGATACATGATTTGTCGATATTTAATTGAAGTGGATAGCTGGGATGTTGACAGTGCCATTGAACGTAAGTTTCATAAGTTTTATTTGTATTTTTTAGATGAAAGTGGATATTTCATGAGCATTCCTGACTGTTATAAATTTTTCGTTGGGGGCTTATTTTCTACTCATTTTTAAATGCTGTGGTATTGATACTAGTTCGATTTTCTGAATTCTACAACTTAATTAAACTTTTTTTTCTAGAATTCGAATATTGTCGAGGTTATAAAATTGAACGGAAGAAATACATCGATTCATTGCGAAATGATTGTATAAAAGGGAAACATGCTACTTTATCTGTGGAATATCCTGGGAAACGAATTAATGGAATAGTTGATAAACGGCTAGCTCAACTGAAAAATGTTTTACCCTGTATTGATCTGAATGAATTTGTTGCAGCTTCGTAAATGTGTATTGTTTTTCATCCAGGTGGTTTTGTTATAAATAAAATTACTAACACAACATAAGAACAAATATATTGTAAATCATTTTTAAAAAATGTTTTTATAAATGTTGATTTCAAAGAATAGATGTGTAAGTTAGTCTCGTTAAACTAATAAATTTGTTTTTTTTTTAATTATATATTATACCTCAATTGTTAGATATTATAGGGATATATTTAAGTGTTATTATTTTCTTGCATTAAACAATTGTTTCATACTCCTCTTTTGATTTATATATTCTTTGTCGAGAATATTTCATGGAAGGAAGATTTCTGATTCTGAACTTTGGTCTTATTATATTTATTGTTATTAGAATATGATATATAATTATTTATTCCATTATTCTCTGTTTTGTGCAGTGTTGTATTTTACAATTCTTTTCTTTTTTCCACAGCGTTAATTGAAACACTTAAAAAATATCTTTGTGATGACATCATTAATTGCAAATTTGGTAAGAATCTTTAAAAATTGGTAACGAATGTGCACTTTTCCAATATTTCATTGATAACAATAGGATGAGCTATGTAATATTCAGCCTGGAAAGACACATTTGTTTACTTATTGTTAATTTGTCTTGTTACGGCGGTCGTAGTCATTTATTTTCATATTACTGTGATTATAATATGTGAAAAATACCTCTGCTAGACAAAACCTCTAATAAATTATAAAATAGTATTCTGAAAGTTCACTTATCATTTATATGTAACCAGTTCAATAATATTTTAGGATTAAACATTAACTTTAGATGGCAGTGTAAATCTTAAGTTTTTCACTTGATGCATTTGTATAAAAAAGGGAAATTGTTAAGGTTTTCGGATTTGCATAAAATGGCTTATTGGCGATTAGATGTGTTATTGGTAATCTATTATTTCGAAGATTTAAATTACATTTTGAAATGTGTTGAGGGTAATGAAGGGAATTCCTTCCGAAGTTGGATAGATACAGTTTTATATTATGTCTGCATTTTAATCCTACAGGTGGTAAAAAAAAATGCAGAAAATTTCGATCTGCAAAGGGATTACTGCATTCATTGGTTTTGAAACCTCTAATAGCAGAGAGAGAGAGAGAGGGAGGGAGAGAGAGCGCTATAAATTTAGATTGACTCCAAAGACATAGATAGCATGGATAAAGGTCAAAGGTTGTGTGATCAAGCATACATAATAATATGCACAATGAGACAAATTAGGGCTGCAAAGTAAACATGAAAAAAAAATAAAATGGATGGGACAGTATGCAAGGGACATTAAAAAAAGTGACAAACATCAAATATACAATTTTTCAAGTGCAAAGAATGTTTCCTTTAATTTTGAAACTTTTAATGAGAATTTTTCACACAAAATGAAAGCTTTAACTTTGAGCAGTAATGCACTTAGTTTCTGTTTTATTTTTATGTTATTTTATTTTTTCTCTCTTGTCTCTTTGAACCATTTTGATGTAAAAATAATTTCATTCTTTAGTAACATTAACAGATGCTTTTTCTCTCTTTTTAACTAGCATATAAACATTCATTGATTTCTTCTCTTCTCTACCATTCTAACATTTGAAAAAAGTTAAAACTTTCAATAATTTAGTTTTGTTGATAGGATGAAATATATTATTGCATTTTGTTAGCAAAAGAGCTCATCTATTAATGATTAAAATATATTGAAGGAAGAGGTAATAAGTTTTATTTTTATTTTTTTCACTTTTCACTTTTTACTTAATTATTATTCCTCTTATCATTTCTGTTATCTTTATTGTTGTAAACTAAATTTTTTTTTCCCATAATTAGTATAAATATTCTATTGCTGTCATTTACAATGTTGTTATTTGTACGAACAATAATGTTTGTTAATTATTATTGTTACTGCAAAAATAAAAACTAAAATAAAAAAAAAAAAAAAACAAAATATATTTATATCTTTTGAATTTCAAATTGATATTGAGAAGGTGATATGATCGATTAATCGACAAGGAATAAATATTTGGCAATGGATTGTTGCTTATAATAGCTTTGTCAAATAACTGTAGTAAATAAATTAATCATTTCATCAAATCATAATATCATTGATCAAAGATGATGATAATTAAATAACACTGATCGAATAATGATTATTACTCAATGAAAGAATTAAACTGCAAAAACTAAGTAAACATGATAAATTTTTATTTTTATCTTTCTAATCGGAACAAAAATTTATTACTTTTATTTATTTTATACTAGAAAGATCGAATTTTAGTTTTCTCACGTCATTCTGTCGTAATTTGATACATTTTAAAGATATATTTTTATTTTAAATTCAAACTTTACAGTTTACTTGTCTTTCAAATTCTTCATTCTTTTTTCCTTTTCTTTAAAGTTTTGTTCAAATTCATTTTCATCTCAAATTTACACTTTTATTTTTTTTTACCCTTAATTATTACATGATATTATCACTTATTGCATAATGTTATCACTGGTTATCATCAAGACTGATATGATCATTTGCTATAAAGTAAATAACTTCGATACCAAACAAAGTTTTGCATAATTATTTGGTGATTTATCAATAATTTCTGAAAGGTTAACTATCAAATTTTTTTCACTTCATTCATTCGTTCGAAGAAATTTTCATTTTAAAATTACTTATTTTTTCATTTTTCATCTCTGACAAATTTGTTAGAAATTAAAATCAAATGTTAAAGGTCAATCTGATATTTATTATTTTGCTACTAAAACATATCGATGAATCACAGGAAATTGCTTCCAATTGATGGACAACAAAAATTCAGACAATAATTCATTAAGTTCTGTCATTTCAATAAACTAAACATTTGGCCATTAATCAGTTCTAAATGATTTCATTATCGATTTTGAATATTTTTCATTTTTTGCTCAAAGCACTGTGAAAATTTCAATTATAGCTTATCTTATCAAAGGTCATCAATATTTGACCATTAGAATGACCTTTATCATTTTCATCCATTTTATAATGTCATTATTCTAATTTCACTTTTTCATCCAAATGTCAACAAATGTTTTTGCAGTTTTTTTTTTTCTCACTTCTAAAATTATTTTATTAGTAATTAATATTTGAACTATTATTGCTAACAAATAAACGAATGAATGAATAAAAGAATAAAAAAAATAAGGCAAAATAAAATATAACCAAGAAAAAAAGAAAATAATATCATTGATATGTTTGTATGGAATTTAAGTGATTTAAATTATTTGTTAAATTCATTTATCTCTTTTAGATATTTTTATCAATGGTTCCATCATTCGTTATTTTTTTAGTATTAAATATCTTTATTGGCGCTAATTTTACAGCTCTAGCAGAATGTAAGTTTTTTTTTTCTTTCCTTAAATATATAATATCAAAATTAAATGAAAATATCAATGATATGATAAAGTATTTTCGGATATTTTACAAGCAAATTATAAATCGATCATTTTTTGATCATAAAATATTGCTCAGAAAAAGTATAAATGATTGATATTTTAGCTAATGATTGATAAATGAGAAATGATTAAATAAGAAATACCGAAATTGATTAGATATTACTTAAATAATAATAATAATAATAATAATAATAATAATAATAATAATAATAATAATAATAGTAATATTAATTATGATTATATGCTTAGCATTGATTAACTTGCAAAACAAAGCTTACAATATTAGCTACTAATTTTAATTTGATATAAAGATGAAGCTATAGAAAATTTATATCTATGAAAATTAGATCTTATCGTTATCAAAATTGCTTCACTGATAATTATCATTCAAACTGGAACGAATAATTTTTCAATCTAAAATAAACATTCGCATAATTGCATAAATACAAAATTATCTTTTTTCTCGATAGCTATAAACAGTTACATAATGTTTACAAACATTATTTATAAACTTCAAAAAATCAAATAATCAAAATTTGATTTGATTTAATTTAATTATTAATTAAGCATATATCAAATGACAGTTATTTTCTTGTAGTTTCCAAGAAATTGTCTATTCCTACTGCATTTTGATACCTTCACGATATGCCACAAATAAATTATTGTTTATGTTTATTAAAAAACAAAAACAAAAGTAAAAGAACTTTCAATTTTAATTTTTTAATTGAAATACTTAAAATCTTTTTTTCCTTCTATAGTGTCAATGGAAAGTCGATTAATTCATCGTAACTATTATTGGTACATAAAAGGAAGAGAAGAACGATTACAAAATGGGTCAACGCCATTCGGTTTTGATCATTTACCGCCACAGACAGTATTATGTGTGGTAAATAATGCATAAAATTATACGTAAACTAATTTAGGAAATATTTTTTAAAAATTATTCCTAAATTTTTTGTGATTTTAGTGTGTTTAAGTTTTACAGATTAAACATATATCATTGAGTTATTTTGATTTTAATTAATTTATTACTGTTAATTTTATTAAATTAATTGTTTAACAATTCAAAGAACGATGCTAATTTTGAAATGAAATAATCTTGAATGAAAGTTAAAATTAAGTTTAGTTATTTTCATTGCTTTTTTTTTTTATTCCAATATTTAATCTTTAAACAAATAATTGCTTACAAAGTGACATGTCACATGATTATAAGGCAAGTGACATGTCATGTGATGGTAAGGTAATTTAAAATGTCTCTACTTGCTATTATAATTCAAAATTAAAAATTAAATTAAAGGGATAAAAAAGTTTGAAATATTATGCTATTTTTTATCAGAATTTCATTTTATTGTGTTCGATGAATTCAAAATTAATACGAAGTAAATCATTTAGTAAAGTGTATTATTAATAAAATATATCATTTAGCAAAATATAACATTTAGTAAAAAATAATATTTAGTAATATACTTTTTTAAATATATTACTTCATTTAGTAAATTATATACAATATAATTTATTATTAATATATAAAACATTATTTAATGAAGTATATATGTATTTAATAAAATATAACTTAATATTCACTTCATTTACTTTTTTTTGGTACTATTTTTTATTGATTACTTAAATTCATTCCTTATTTATTTATTTTTTATTATTAGATCAGAAATAAAACAAAAAAAAAAAAATCACTGAAAATTATGTTTAATTTTGTAATTCATTTTCCTTTTAACATTATCATTAGTATTTGGTGAGTGATTATCAATGATAATAATATCAGTAATTTAATTTTTTGTTGTTTTTCAATTATAATTTTTAAATATTTACAACAATTTCAGATTCTTCACAAAACAATCAGTTGTGATGCAGTAATGGAAGCATTGAAAAGCTATAAGGAATACATTCACACCGATGAATTCACTTGATAATTTCGATAATTAATTTCCAATTAAAAATATCTGCAGATTTCAACAACATAATTAATTAATTAATAATTTTTCAATATTTTTCTTTCCTATATTTTCAACATTTTTCTTATTCATTCATTCATTCATTCATTCATTTCCTTTTTCTTTTTTTTTCAAATTTTACTAGCAGAAAATATTTTAATCGAATAATATTCAAATTTCATCAATTAAATAATGCAACTGAAAAATTTTAGGATAAAACTTGACAAATGAAAAATGTAAATAAAAGCTATGATAACGCTATTAAAACATTTTTAGAATTTATTTTAGAAAAAATAATTGATTAGATATGCACGAAGAATTTTTGTGATAAATTTGATAACATTTCAAAATTTCATTAAATTCTTAGGATATTCTCTATATGTGTATTTAGATGGCAATATTTCTATATTTTTTTTTTCTAAATTTATTATCAATTTCTGAAATACTTTCAAAAATTTGGAAAAAAAAGATTTTGATTTTTAAATACGAATTTCATTTTAAGTTTTCTCTTTTGCTACTTTAATTGTAATTCTCTTTACAGTTACGCATTTAAATATTTCCATAATGTCTTTTGTATTTTCCTATTCGATAATTTGTTGTAAAATTCATGTAAAATTAATTATTTAGTTAAACTGAGAAAGAATTTATTTTTTAAATATAATTTTTTGAATAATTGCATCTTATTTAAAGATGAAATAATTACTTTCATTAATAATTTGTACAGTAAATGTTTTTAGACTTTTAATTTGAATATTAGTGCAAACATTTTATACTGCCAGTGTGACAATCATAACAAATTTTAAAAAGTTTTGTTATCATTGCTAATTAAATTACGAACTTTCATTGTTTGATTTATTTGTTTTTGCAATTAAATAATAATCAATTTTAGACATTATGTTAAATAATTTAATTAATAATAATAATTATTATTATTTGTTATGATTGTTCTCGACTGCCAATTCATTTCCAATTTTGTAATTATATTGAAAATAGCAAAATAAGTCTATGAAAAATGTTTGCTTCCGATTTCAAACATTAAATTTTGATTGATTCATTTTTTATTTTAAGTTAAAGTTTTGCATAACTCTTAGTCATATCAGAGACAAAGTTTAAATGTCAGAGTAATGCTGAGAAGAAAATGCTAGAAACAGTTATCATAAAGAGGAATAATTCATTAATTTAATTTGATATGAATAAACCATACTACTACTACTGATCAATGATTTTTATTGATGGAAGAAATCTTTCAATATAAAGTGATTCAGTAAAACAGGATCAGGAAAGTTAGAAACTGGAACTGTTAAGCTTTCCATATTTTAGTTGCTTATGTTTTTTTTTCATAATATTTCTAGTTAATTGCGCACATTTTAAAAATTAAATTGATCAACAACAATAAATACTCACTTTAAAATGTTTGGTAATAATTTAAAAATGATTAAATCACAGCATTTGATAATAGCAGCAAATATTATTGAGATAGAAAAATTATTCACAGAAAAGATTCGATTAATTTTGAAATAAAAAAAGATATTTTTTTTTTTTTTTAAAGCTTAGTCTAAACATCGCAACTGAACTTTATCATTACTTATCATCTGATCGTAATCAATCAACTGCCTTTGAAATTCTCATAACATCAAATGTTCTAGAGATCAAAAATTGATATAATTAACAAACCTGACAATTCCTTATCTTTTGCTTTTATCATCTGATTGTAATCAGCCAAAAAATAAAATAAAAATTCTTCAAATTTCTAAAAAGTAAATAAAAAATTTCAAAATTTCTAAAATTTCTGCTTTGTGTTAATTATAACATTGTCACTAGCAATACTTATAAAAATTTTATTCGAAAATAATTTTTAAGCTATTAATTAGAATATATTTTCAAGTATGTATGAAAGATTCATTTGCATAGTTTTATTTTCAAATTTGAGCTTGTTTACTTTTTAATTCAAATTTAACTTTACTCCTATTAAAATCTAGATTTCATCCGAAATTTTATTAACCATTAATTCTGTAATTTCCTAGAAAATCTGCTCTCATTATACATATACTGGTAGTCTCTTACCGAGAGTTATTGTTAGTTCAGCTGATAAGATTGATATAATGATAAGCACTTCAATCACAGAATCGATAGCAAACTTTCATTTTAATTTACGATCACTTTCACTAAAATATGAGTTGAAAAGAATTTTGTTAATTTAATGACTATTTTCGTGAACAACTGATGTTGTTTATTCGTAATTAGTGGAATTTTTTATGAAAATAAAAAAAAAATCGAAATTTATTGTTCTATCAAAATTAAAATTATTTCTTTGTGAAATAGATTTAGTCTAATTTATATTTTTTGCTTTAGCTTTTTGTTTTGTACTATATTAATTTGATGATAACTTCGTTGATTTCTACTTTGCAGAAAGTTTTATATATTTTCAATTATTCCTAACAATTATTTAACTTTCTATACCTAGCAATGTAGAAAATGTAATCATTAAATACATTGAAATGAAATTAAATTGAATAATTTTAATTCATTCATTTCATTACAGCAACAATAACATTAATTGCTAAATAAAAGCTCTAACAATAATGCAAAAAAGAAAAATCATTGTGTAACATAAATATTTTTATCAGAAATAAATTAGCAAATATATTTTAGCATATTTTTTTTGCCGAAATTTTGACTTTTCTTTCAGTTTTTGATTGGAAAAATTTCTTTTTTTTTTTTACTTATATCACAAAAAATACAATAAATAATTTTTAATTTTTTGATATTTAGATTAGAATTTTAGTAAGTATTTACTAAAATGTATTTACTTAATAGAAAACTTATGACAGGAATGAATTTTGGAAATATTATTTAAGACTTGTCGAATTTTTCAAAGATATTTATCGTCTAGAATATATCGTAGCATCTAATTTGCACTTCTTTTTAAAATTTAAAATCAACCATTCATGCATATATGAAACAAGTGTTTCACCAGTTTATTAAATAAATTTTATGCAATTGGCTGAATAATGACAAACTTTTCTACTTGCACAAATTTTTAAAAAACTTCACCTATAAGTGTATATCCTTCAATTCGAAGTTACAATTTTTATTGAATACTCAAAAAAAAAAAGGGATAATAAATTAATAACGTCATTAGTGCATATCTCGTTATTATTTCACCTGATTTGACTTTTATCAATTTTATCAGTATGTTACAAGATATTGAGGATTCTGTTGTTACAATTCTTTGGAACTTAAAAAACTTACTATTTTTTTTAGGTTAGGTAAAAATGGCATTGAAAACTGCAATGATAATGACTGTATCGAGAAATTGTGGTTCTACCACAATTGGGAAACCTTTGTTGATTGTGATTTGGAATTGATACGTTAAGAAAGATTCTTCTGAAACAATCATTAATCGCTAACAATAATGATAAACAAGAATTGATATATGCCAATAGTATATCGATAATTTCATAAGACATGGAATTATAGAATATAAGGTAAAAAGAAAGGAAATTTCATAGGAAATTGAAGTAAAGAATTTAAATGAATCGAATTAAATAAGTGGGACAGAGCAGCTGTAACTCACTGATACTAGAAACTAACTCAAATAAAGTATTTAAATGCTTACATAGTGGGCACTGACTTACAGTAGAATCTTTATGATATTTCTGATAAACTCAGCTATCTGTGAGAAATGAGTGCTTCATAAATTGGTTTATAATTTTAAAAAATATTCAACACAATCTTTAATTTTTAATATAATTTTATTTTCAACATATTACTATAATGATCATGAACTGTCCTGAAGGTCACAATTATCATTTTTTTCAACATAAATAGTTTAAAAATAGCTCAAAAATGATCTGAATGGATCCTGGATTCAAACATTGATTCTTCATCGACTGAATGTCTAATGCAGAATGTGAAACAGACATTGTCTTGTACGATGCAAACTTAACCTTTACTTCTAGGCCAAACCTAAACGAGACCCTAAACAAGACTTAAAGTCAACAATTTTCAAATTGCTACAATAAGAGATAACTTTTAGGTCAACCATCAAAACAAGATTTGCAAACATCTCATCTGCAGGATTTCTCTCCTGCAACTCATCAAAAATTGCATTCTGCAGTCCTCCACAAAATGCCTAGAGTACTTGCCAAAGAAATCTAAATGAAAATAATCTATAAATTCAAGAACTGATAATCGAGATTTGCTCATTAAGCATATTTACGGCAATCTATTTTGTCTTACAAGGGAAAACAGCTTTTCGTCTTGTAAATAATAAATTTTAGCAAAAACTTCAGAACACCAATCTTAGAACAGAAAATCCAATTAGACGCAAATATCGTCGATCATAGAGGAGAGTCTACAACAGAGCTAATGCAGTTTGCAAGCTAATAAAAGTGCGGTAAACATGACATATTTATTATCAGACAACTAACTAACTGCAAGGAAAGGCGTAGAGAATAAAGGTTTCTGCATGACCTTTGTTGACCTTACCGAAGTAGTTCATAACGTAAACAAAAATAGCTTATGGCAAATCTTGCAACAACTGAGATTTCTCACTAACTTTCTGCAATGATCATTCTTCTGCTACACAAAGATCAAAGCAGATATGATCATTCACACTCTCTAAGTGATTCTCGATAATCAAAGAAGAGCTGGAATAAAGTTACATTCTCGTACTAAACGTAGAACAAAGCTGCACTCTCGTACTAAACGTAGAACAAAGCTGCACTCTCGTACTAAACGTAGAACAAAGTTGCACTCTCGTACTAAACGTAGAACAAAGCTGCACTCTCGTACTAAACGTAGAACAAAGCTGCACTCTCGTACTAAACGTAGAACAAAGTTGCACTCTCGTACTAAACGTAGAACAAAGTTGCACTCTCGTACTAAACGTAGAACAAAGCTGCACTCTCGTACTAAACGTAGACTCAAAGCAGATTTTAGTGAATATTCAGTATTGTACGGACAAAAATCTATCCAATGTCGGGCGATTAAAAGCATATACTAAAACTCGACATCAGCTTGTAAATTGCTTTTTGCAACTGACTTCGTATGAATGAGTCAGTGTAATGCATATCTTCATGATTTGCTGGAACTATAGAGCTTTTTGGATTGAGTCAAACTGAACTTCACGATTTGCTGAAATTTGATTATTATCCTTCTCATATCACTACAAGTTTTTATCAGTTCAATAATTCACCTATCTAGGAAGTATTTTTAGCTAGTAACGCATTTGCATCAAAAATAAAAACCATCATTCATTCACGAAGCCAAACCATCAATTATATATGATTCGCCACAGTTTTTCATGAAACAAATTCATAACTTAAAACCTATTCATAATAATGAATACAGAATTAAAATAATACAATACTTCCCCACAAAAAGCTTATAAAACCAGAACCTGTAAATACAACAAAATAACGTATAAAAATAGGAGTGAATTAGAGAAAGTAAATGAGCGAACAGAAAGAGCCTATGTTAAGTCTAGCTCAAAATTTAATAAATGTTTAAAATTAATACAATGTTGGTGATTGAATAATTTGAAAAGGCTTTCAACAATACTAATAACTGTATCTTCGCTACAATTATTCTGCGTATACTTTAATCGATCCATTCGATTCTTTTCTGATAGGATGAGTTTTATACATGGTGTATTTAAAACCTGGAAAATAAAAATTTTGAATATGAAAAAACAAAAGAAAAAAAAATAAGTCTCTACCAATCCTTATCCGAAACTAAACAAAACAAAATTAAGAAACATATTTTCTGCATTTTTTGAAAACGAACCATTCTTTAAAAAAAAAAAAACTGAAGCACCAATTATTCAAGAAACTAACCTTCCACCTATGAACCCTTATTAATAATATCAAGAAAAACTTCAAAATATGAATCAAAGTAAAGAAAAACGAAAACATGTAGCTGTATAAAATCGACAACTGCACTGTGTTCAAGATCTTTCACTTCTATTTGAATCTCCTTTTCAGTATTCTCTTCATTTACTTTTTGAGCAAAAACCAACGATATAGCTTCCTGCAAAAAATACTATGTTAAATATATACATATATAAACATTAATAAATAGCAAGTTACTATTAACATATAAGCCACAAATTAAGAAGATAACCTTATTCTTCATACTGTAACTATTCGATATTATTTCTTGAAGTTCCTGTTGTAAACGTTCAATTAATGATTCTGCTGGACGGACATATATTCCTCGCGTAGGATATATATCATCTTGCCCATCCGATACCTTTTGATATTTATATTCAGTTTTGATTGGCTGGAAAATATGAAATCGAAAATCAAAAAATTATTGAAATTTTTGGTTAAAATCGCTGATTAAAATCATTATCCAGTAAAAAATTGAGATAACTTTTACTCAAAGTTTTACTCAAAAGTGTTTATTGAAGAACACTATTTACTGCACTAACCTCAATCTCGGTAACTTAATTTTAAAGTAAATAAGTTTAAAGTAATTTTAAATTTAAGGTTTAATCATTTTCCTTATCGGAGATGATATATTCCTTGTTTTAGTCCTCACTCACCCAATAAATCTTTATGAGAAACATAGTCAGTAACAGAAAAAAAAAATGAATTGTTGAAAATGTACCGTTATTGCTGGAACAAAAGAGCGGATCCTTACATGAGAAGTAACGTCAGCAAGTAACTGGAGACGTGGAAACTCGGAGGCGTGAAATAAAACTGCACTGTGCAATGAGTGAAGAAAAACATGGCTACATAATCCTACTTCAATATGTGGTTCTGGGTCATTAAGTAGAGCCTGAAAAAAAAATAAGTAGAAAATGTCAATGATATCCCTTAAACTGAAATCTCCTTACAAATAATGAAGTCCTTTATTTATAGGACATTCTGCAGCGACATACCATTTCATCAATGTGCATATTTCGTAGATAAAGAAAGATTCGTACAGCATAACATTTCTCAATCTTAATTATTTGAAAAAAAAAAGAAAAAAAAAAACCAAAAAATCTTCACTTTTATGCAAAACTGAACACCATATGCAAGGGAGTCGATAAAATAACCACCTTCCATCAACATACACAACGGCGATCCGACTGCAGTAGCTGCATCGAGAATTAATTTCGTCATCCAGTAGTATCCAGCCGGACTTACGTTCATATTTCCTTCTTCGTCACCTAATAACTTTTTATCAAACAACAGCTCATACTGCTAATAAATTATTATAAAAGCAACAGTAATTCAATCAAAAATTTGAATACATACCAAAACCAGCATCAAATCCAGATGATATCAAAATTAAACTTGGAACAAAGTCATAAATTATAGGGACAACAAAATGTTGTACAAATGCAATATATTCTGAATCACCCATACCAACTCCATTCAAAGGCACATTGATTGTATTTTTATCTGAAAATCCACCATAAATTGTTGCAGATACAGATTAATCAAGATAAAGCAAATTTGATCCAGTATGTAGAAACTAGTTTAAACTGCATTATCAAATGCTATAGGATGGAATGTTTTCACAATATATCATGGAAAATCACAACTTCTTAAAATTAAAGGGATAAAAAAACTTGCATCCATGAGAAATTGCACTTTCAGGTAAATGAGGCCAAAACAGTCCATGTTGATAACGATGAATTGATATAAGCTTGATTTTTGGGTCATCTTCTACAGCATACTGTGTCCCTTGACCGGCATGGACATCCCAATCCACAATTAAAACTTTTTCCACACCGAGAGTTCGGGCCTAAAATCAATGATAACTTATGTTAGCCAGGCAAAATGGAAAATTTAGAAAAAAGGAATAAGTATAAATACGAAAATGCAAGATCTCTCTGACACTAACAACAGAATTTTTTTGATCCAATTAAACAGAAAAATTGGATCCAATCATCTGTTATTAACTGCTTGTATGTGTCACACTAAAAAATATTTCTGTTCTTATAATTTTAGCAAAAACTTAAATCCTATATATACAACTAACGTTACAAATAACTTATAAAAATTTTAATGTAGAAAAAATGGTTGCTTTAATAACTTTTTGGCGCAAATAGCAACATTATTGAATATGCAAAAACCGCATGCTCTTTCACGTGATGCGTGATGACCTGGTGGCCGAATTACTGCGAAGGACGAACTCTTTCTGAAATATTCAGTAATCAACTTGGCTTTGAATTGCTTACACAATAGGAAAAGTAGCTTGAAATCACACTTTTTTGAATTATTTAGTAGCTTTAAATTCTCACCACGGTGTAGACTATTTTTATCATGATTCTAAAATCAAATCCTATTCCATATTACGGTTTTAAATCCCGAATCAGCGCTAAGTTCCTTATTCTTTATGTATTTACAACCACAGAAAGAATCTAACAACGAATTGTTACAAGATGATTACATCATAGCTTCAACAAAGGAATAATGAGAATAAAAAAATCTGCAAGAATGCCTAATCACCTGCACTAAAAGTAAAAATGAAATTATTAAAATACATCAGAATACATTATCAAACCTTTCTCCATCAGAAAGAACAGCCTCCATAGCTTGCAATGATATACCAACACTTATCGCAGCTGCTTCATAAGAATAATTATTGAAATATACATCATCAAAAGTTGACGCAATTTTTTCCAGCTCCTCCTGAATTTCATAAAATAAATTCTTAGAAAATGATCTCCATTAAATCAACATCACATTTCGGCATGATCGAAATGAACAGCATTAGTTCTTCAAGTACGTTGAGAAAAATTTAGTGAAGATTGAAAAAAGACTTAATCTATCTAGAAACAAACTAACTGATAGTATGAGAACATTAGTCTCTTTCGAAAAAATCATTTCCAATTTCGAATAAATGAATACCACTCAGTCATCAAAAATAAATAGGTACTCTTTAAGCAAACCTATCTATTATAAATAGGAAGAAAGGTCACTACAAGATCCATATTCCGTGTTTGAGCAATTCGTTCAACATACGTTCGGCTGTGAACCAAACAAAGATCTTCCAAGTTAGCTTTCTTAGGCTTCAGATGTGTACATCGATTCAGTAGACCAGAACTCTGAAATTCTCGCTTTTTGATATCATTCTCAGACAATTTTCATCCCTTCTACTATACCATTAGATTTCCTTATTAAAAATATGTGACAAAATTTTTTTCCTTTTTTTACAATATTTAAAGCTCTAGCAACTTTGTTAAAATAATAAGAAATTTTTTGAATTACTACCAAACTCAATAAGAAACATATTCAAAAATTCATTTGCTATAAAAAAGAAAAAGAAAAAATCAGTGACGAGATAAAAAATCGAAGATTTTACAAAGAACAAAATTAATTGTAACCTCAAGTTTCTCCAAAACAGCACTGAGTCGTTCCGGATGTTCAAGATGATAATCCCATTCACATCGATGTTGCAACATCGCTCTGTCCGTACCAATATATACTTTACGCTGTTTCATTCTCGATATACCTTTGCTATCGCAATGTTATCAGGTAAAAGCAACAAGTGCTGCAAAGAGACTCAAAGATTTCTCATCCTTACTATTACATGATGCTGGACAACCTGCCGGAAAAAATGACTTTATAATATAAATATATCAAAATAATATATATTTTTTCACTGTAAAGATGTTCCAAATTTATAATCAGTGGTTAAGAGAATTCAGAGAATTCTCTTTATTTCTAAAAGAATTATATAAAAAAAACTTTTCGAGTGGTTAGGTTAATGTTACCACATGCAGCAGTACAATCTAAACGCATTAAGTCCTTATTAAATAACAATGTATTTTTTGTTGTTACAACCAACTGCAATGAAATTATTCCGAAAAAAAAAAAAAAAAAGTGAATTTAACAACTGATTTGATCTGTGATATTCTCTTCCACAAGAAATATGCTTTTATAACGACAATCAATTAATATTTGTCAGTGCTAAATCTAAGCAAAAATTTCCGCAACAAATATTTGGTGCTACAAACCAGGAAAACCAAACTATCTTTATCGATCAAGTAAAAGAAGTGGATTTGACTCCGATAAATCAACAATCACCGAGAGATCAACAATATAAAAGTAGAAAAAGTCATTGGAGAAAAAATCCGAGTGATTTAAACAGCATATTGGTATTCTCATCTAATAACAACAAGTGGTTGAAGTATATTCAAAAGATAATGAAGACAAATATAAGAGATGGATGACGAAGAAAAAGATATTTTTGAAACTATTAAATCAAGGAAGAGAAAACAAACTATTCCAAAAAATGTATAAGTGTGATTATGAATTAATCTAAAACACTTAACACAAAGTATTATTGCTCAATATAATTATGACAATGTAAGGAAACTTTTGATCGAGAAATTTGGAGAATCATCATTTATAGATAATTGCTATATACCGAGTTGCATTCCAAGAATCACAAATGGAGAATAAACTATTAGAGCAACTGAGAGAATACTTTGATAGTTGGAAGTTACAGGATGGAATGTTCTATTTTAGAAAATAAATAACCAAACTGCATGTTTAGACAAAGTTTATCAACAAAAGTGATAACAAGAATTACTACTGATACATAAACTCTAGCTATTAATGAGGAAAGAAAAAGATGCTGATAAAATTTGAGTCAAAAACATATACTACTAAAGAAGGAATTTCAGATGTTACAATAATTAAGCAATCCAAGCAGCTGGAAATAAATAATCTAGTTATGAAAAGACAAAAAATCATTTGAGAGAAGAACTGAAGAGGAAGAGTGCTTTCCTTAACTGTCCCAGAAAGAGACATACAATCTATGACTGTCACCGTTACAAAGATCTTCATGATTCATGCACTGTATTGTTCTAAACTTGATATCAGAACTACTGAACTGATACTGAGAAAAAAGATCAGTAAGATAAGAAAGGAAGCCTTACTTTTATGCAAATAGGTCAAAGTAATCAACCAAATATGCCAGGAATTGTAAAAGAAACTTTAGCATTATTTAATATTGTTACGCAATTATTATCCAAGAAATTTAGCAAATCAAAGATAAATATCATCACTTCATTTGCTTATAGTACTCTTAAACTATGAAAATAAAGATGAAATCAAGTAACAATAAGATCGGTCTTAATTGATCATAAATTTGAAGCAAATTTTCAAAGATAATAAGACGACGATGTTGTGGCCTTTGTAATAATGATTAATAGGCTAATAAATGCCAGCTTATCCACCTCTCAAAACAAAAAATGGAAAGTTTGAGAGAGAAAATCATTTGCTTAATTGTTCAGAAAAAGAAAAAAAAAAGAAACATAGAGCAAAAGAAAGGAAATATTTATGTTTCCAGTGCAGAAATCCTCATAATACTGTATTATTGGATAGGAAAGAAAATGTTCAACAAAGAGAAAAATGCATTCGATATTAACTAAGTCAATAAATCAACAAAAATGCTGAGCAAACAAGGAAGTTTCATTCTTATGCAAAGAAATTAAAAGAATCACTCCAGAGGTTCAGAAATTCAAAAAACTTTGGTAATGTTTGATATTAGTTCACAGTTATACCTAACATTAACATATCGATTAAATCGACAAAAGGTAGAACTAATGTGATGGACTATTTGAAGAACAAATCATAAGTAGTTAAATAGAATAATGAATATCGTGAGTCTCGAAATAGTTTATTTATTTAATAAAAATTAATAAATTGATTATTCAAATTGTATTTAAATAAGTATTACGATATTCACTGTTATGAATCATTCAATTAATTTCTCATTCTTCATTCAGCCAATTTCTCACATTGTCTTCTGATACATCTTGAATTCATGAATCAATTTCTTTTATGCCATTTTTCTTTGTTTATCTTTTAATTTAACTAAAATTTTTATCTTTTTCTATTCATTATCATATTTATAATGAACGATTAAAATACTAATACACATAAAATATTCCCAAATTTTCAAAATTAATTATATTCCTTAAGATCGCTTATCTCTGTATCTGAGAGAATCTATTAAAATATTGTGAATCTCTTCCATTCTGATTTATATACAAATGAATGTGTTTAAATAAATAAAAATAAAAAGGAGTTATTCCTATTATAAATAAATAAAAAGGGTTTTTTTTCTCTCTCTCAACTTCAAATTGCTGCTACAACCAATTCAACCACTCCACAACTTCTCAATTTTTCTACCCTCATTTACAATATAATACCTGTAATACTGTACTCGACAATAAACATAGCTTATCATATCCAGGACATGAATCAAGGAGACATATTCTGGCTATTTTAAACTTAACCAATCTAGCTAATAAAAGTTCAAATTTTAACGTTAGAATTTACCTTGTTTCATAAAAAATTTAAATTCTAAATAGTGAGAAGTGGATACAGTAAATTTTATGTTCACAAAAGAAAAGTAAATATCATAGTTTAAAGCAGAAAATTAATTGGCTACAGTAGGAGTTTACATTAAGAGAATTAAATTCGAACAAGAAGACTTTCAAAATGAAGAAACGGAAGGAAAAACTAATGCGAAGAAAGTATATTAGAAGAAAAAGAAAAAAAATTCGAAAAATAAAAAAAGATTTAAAAAACTTTCTTTAAAGAGAAATAAGAGAAAATGATGTATTTTCAGAGTATCAGTTATACTGATTGCTATCGATTTAATTCAACCTATTTTTCAGACAAAAATGGACAAAAAATCTAAATTAAACGAAAACAAAAAAAACTTCTCGCTCAATTCCAAATTTTCCTTTCTCGAGGATTTTAATCTTTATTTGGGAATATCACAAAAACTAAATTATTTTTATGATAAAAATATGTCAAAATAATCAAAATATTTTTGAATGTAGAAATAACTTGAAATAATTAAGCAGATTCATAATTTCAAATTTGTACATTTAGAATATTTGTTTCAGTGAAAACTTATTTGCTTAATAATTTTTTCTATTGATTGATGGACGAATAGTTTTGATACAGATTCATTGATTAAAACTATAAGACAGTTATCAGAGAATATTAAGAATAGAATCGATCTCTAGGTTAATCATCGAGAAATATCGATTGGAAACAGATTGATAAGAGCTTGATGAAGTGTAGACTGTAGCATTGGACCGAGTCTAAGTGAACTATTTTTAGGAAATAATTAAGCAAAAGGTATTTTGTGATGATAAATAGTTTACAACAAGATGCAATTTTTTTGTGTCACAAAGATATTAGTACGAAGATTTTATTAGATCAGAAATATTTATGGTGAATTGCTGATTTGTATTTAATCATTGAGCATAAGCTTGATTGTTCCGGAACAAGGATAAGAATTGGATAAATTTTTATTTCTAAATTTTCATTTATCTGATAAATATCCTAAAGGAAATAAGCATTGCTATACAAATTTCGAAATTATAAACTTATTTACTTATTTTGAGATATTTCTACAATACTAAAATACTAAAAATGACTATTCAGTATATTGCGATAGTTCTCAGACAAATGAATCATTTATTCAGCTCTCATGTTCATTGCCTAGAATATTTCAATCTTCTAACAAAGAATGCAATGTTATAAATCACTCCCAAAAATATCACTGCAATAAAGTTCAAAACTGATAATCAAACTTATAGTCAACAGCTATTAGAAACCATTCTTTGTCCACTTTATTCCCATTGATTTATTACATGCATCTATCAAATACTCATCAAATGATAATTTCAACCAATTTGTTTAAGAATTCGGACTAAGAAGAAATATCCGAGAGTACGTAACGTCACTTATACGTGAAAATTTTACTCCTTTAGACGTGAGAAAAGACAGTGACATCCCCTCAACAATTCGAGATGAATCAAATATTTCTCCTCACATTCTACCCTTGTGTAACGGAAACCATCGAAGCCTCCAATACATTCTGCTTTAGAGCTGTTACAGATCACTTGTTGCAGTTCTTTGGCATTTGTTCAATTTTGCATACTAATTGTCGGTGGTCTTTATTTTTTTTGTTGGTGTCCTCTCGTTGGTCGGTGGGTTGTCGTAAGGTGCTCACGTGATTTGTCCCTTGTCGTGGTGTACACGTATGAGATGGCGTAGGGTACGTGAAGTTATTCAGCGTAATGTATCTTTTCGCGATGGCTTTAATATATTAGTTTGATCGCAATGATGCCTATTATTGGTATTAATTGACTTTTTGAATAGACCACTGGTGATAGAATCCTGGAGATCAGTCCATTTTACGTGTTACATCGATTCCTATCTGAGTTCAATTTTTGAAGAATTTATGAAGTATTTCACTAGTTAATGTATATTTTAATTTCAATTTGTAAGCACTTAAAAATTATCGAAATATAAAAATTAGGTTTTTATGGATCATTTGCAAAAGTTGAGATATGTAAGTAATATATGATAAGAGCAATTTAGACTTCTTTTATGTCCAAACTTTAACGTGCGCTATTCGCACATCAGTTTTATCTTAAGTTTTTGATTCTGCAAAAAGAAAAAAACT